CCCGTACGGTGCCCCCCGGTACCTCTCTGCCGTGGTCGCCCTCCCGGAACAGGAGCTCGTACTTGATGATGCTCTCCTGCCGCGGGGGGCTCCACGAGAGCCCGATGCTCGTCTCGGACTTGGCCTCGGCCCTGAAGTTCATGGGCTGGCCAGGCACTGTGGGGGAGGGGAGAGGAGGAGAAATGGGGGTGGCCGGGGAGGGGCCCACTCCACATGGGGTGCCCAACCCACCAGGTGTCCCCATTCTCCCAAAAAAGAGCCCCATGAAGCTCAGCACTGCCCTGGAGGTAAGGCTGCCTGTTCCCCGATGCTCCTGGAATGTTCTCCACTGTTCTCATTTCTCTTCTTTTCCCTGGGGGCCCCTTGCCACCCCTTGTTGCCAAGGGGCCCACCTCAATCCCCCCACCCTCTCTGCTTCCTCCAAATTGAAGGACAGAGGGACTGTGGGGATGACGTTTCAAAACACGGGTTCCCCATCCTGTGAGTGCTAGCTCTAGCACCACAGTTCTGACCCTTCTGTCCTTTCGTTGGGGCAGCTGCTGAGTCTTCTTGGCTTTGAGGTTCTGAAGCCTGAGGCCGAGGGGAAAGGACGGGAAACCCAGAGAGCTGGGGCCCCACACACCTAAATGCCCCACCCCGACCCTGCCCCTCAACCTGAGCCAGCAGGAGGCCAGCCGGCTGCCTTTGGGCAGATGCGCTTTTCCTTTCTAATTTCAAAGGAGGTGGCATCAATCTCCGATGAGAACGGAGAGCAGGGGTTCTCAAACTCAGACACAGCCGCCAGGATCTGTCTGGATGTCCAGTCATAGCCCCGTGGGCTTGCCAAATCAAATTTCCCAAGTGAAGACAGAAATGTGGGTTTTCTGGGACAACTTCCTGCGTTTGAAATGCTAGCACGAAAATATTTTAAAGCACCATGCAGGATGAACAAACCATTTTGTGGCTTCCAGGCAAGACCAGCTAGCTGCATGCTACGAGATACATGACTGCCCCCCCGCCCCGGCCCCGCCACCTCCTCCTGTTTCCACGACCCGGAATCCTGCTGTCCCCACAGAAGCCGCACCTCCCACTGGCAGCTCACCTCCCTGCTGTGTCTTGACCTGGATGGGGTCCGAGAGGGGCCCGTCGCCCACGGAGGTGAAGGCCAGCACGCGCACAGTATACGTCTCATCCTCCAGCAGGCTGCCCACGGTGGTCAGCAGGCTGTCATCCACGTTGTGCTTCTGCCAGTTGCCCACGGGGTGCTCGGGCTCCATGGTGTAGTAGATCCGGTAGCCCCGGATCAGGCCGTTGGGCTCCACGGGCTCCTCCCACTGGATGATCATGGTGGTGGCGCTCAGCATGCGGGCCTGCACGTTCCGGGGTGCGCTAGCTGGGGCCTGTTCGCCCGTGCGGGTGACCACTGACTCACTGGGAGGCCCCTGGCCGATGGAGTTGACAGCGGACACCCAGATCTCATACTCCGAGTTGGGGCTCAGGCCACCAATGCTGTAACGCGTCGTGGTGATGTCCTCTTTGATCTGGTAGGGCCCGTCCTGGCTCTTGGATTTATATTCGATGACATAGTAGGACACGGGGTCTGGGTTGCCGGAGTCCCATGTGATGGTGATGCTGGTGGCTGTGTTCTCTGTCACCACGGGAGTCCCCGGGGCTTTGGGGAGAGCTGTGGGTGGGAGGCAGGGTCACATGTCAGGCACGCTGGCTGCAGACCCCGAAGGTGCTGTGACTTTCAGCCACATGGCCACTGCCCTCGCTGAGCCTTGACTTCCTCGGCAGTGACCACAGGCCTAATGACCCCCGTCCCATCATCTATAGCTGGGTGCGGCAAACTATGGCCTGAGGACCAGCACCTGTTTTTTCTTTTTTTTTTAAGACTTTATTTATTTATTTGACAGAGAGAGAGAGAGCGAGAGCAGGAACACAAGCAGGCGGAGTGGGAGAGGGAGAAGCAGGCTTCCCGCGGAGCAGGGAGCCCGATGCGGGGCTCGATCCCAGGACCCTGGGATCATGACCTGAGCCGAAGGCAGACGCTTAACGACTGAGCCACCCAGACGCCCCCAGCACCTGTTTTTATAAATAAAGTTTTATTGGAACACAGCCGTGCCTGCGTATTGCCGATGGCTGCTTCTGGCAGAGCTGGGGGGATGTCGCAGAGACTAGATGGCCCGTAAAGCTGAAAATGGGTGACTTTAAAAAAAAACAAAACAAAACTGCTCTTTAAGAAAAATATTTACCCTTGAGAATCTGAGAGGTCTGTCCCCCTCTCTGTGGTTCACTCTGCTCAGCCACGCTGTGTGTTCCCACGTCACACCTGCTGTTCCCTGCACCTGAAATGCTCCATCCCCAGAGGGCCACATGGCCAGCTCCTTCTCATTCCTTAATGCCTGCCCCCACACACCACCCTAGCTAGAGGCGCCCTTGCCCAGTGCTTAGCAGGGACCAGAGTCTTGTTCACAGCTGTGTCCCTAGCACCTGGATAATCGTGACTTTCTCTCCCACTTGTCCCAAATTCTTACGCCACAGAGGCCCCAGGAGAAGTTCGATTCCTCGGCAAAATGACCAACCAACCAGCTGGAGATGACACTTTTTATGGCCTGAGGGCAGGGCTTGGCAAACTGCTTCCAAAGGGCCCCACAGTAACTATTTTCAGCTTTGTAGGCCAGAGAGTCTTCGTTGAGATTACTCAGCTCTGCCCCTGCAGCCCAAAAGCTGCCACACACAAGACCTGGGTGAATGGGTGTGGCTGTGTGCCAATAAAACTTTATTTAAAAAAACTAGAGGAGGGCCAGATCCAGCCTGCAGGTTATAGTTTGCGCGCCCCTGTTCTAAAGCTAGAAAAATATTTGGGGGCACCTTCCTCTGAATCTCACCACGAACTTGAGACGTCAGGACAATCTATAGTCTTCTATCCCGGCCCCATCTCTCTAAGTCTGCACAGTCCATTTCCTTCCCTTAGAAGTGTTCTCCATCTTCTCTGGCTCATTCCTGTTCAACTCTTAATCTTTCTCTGACCTAACTTTCCTCGGAGGTGTGACCTTTACTCTGGGGGTCTGAACAGTGCCACGGGATCCCCGTCACAATCCCAATCAGGCTGTATCACAGCTGCCTGGCTATGCGGGTGTTTCTCATGCTGGACTCTAAGCTTGGCAGAACGAGACCATGCCTCGCTCCAAAGGGCCGGGCCCAGAATAACGTGTAACCAACAATATCTGTTCACGAAACAACTGTCCCCTTGGCAGCCACGAATGACCAAAGCCAGAATGGAAACTCGGAGCTTTTCCACCTGTACCCCCAACCTGTGTCCCCGGGAGAGGGGTGTCAAGAGATGACCTGCCTTCCTGGGCCCCACGGGTCCCGCTTACATTTCACTGTGATCTGGGCCACGGCCTCGATGACGCCCAGGCTGGACATGGCCACGCAAGTGTAGTTGGCAGAGTCTTTGACGTCTGTGAGCTCCAGCACGTTCCGACCCACGGGCATGTCGTCTTCAGGCGTCAGGTCTTCGGCCCCCTGCATCCACTTGACGTAGGGCATGGGCGAGCCCACAGCCACGCAGGTGATGTTCACGTTGCCACCTGGCATGATCTCGTGGCTCATGGGCAAGATGGAGAATCGCGGAGCCACGCGGCGGACTGGGGGTGGGCG